ATTGAGAATTTAACTTTCATTTAATTTCCTCTTCTTCACTGGGAAGTCCAATCATATTCAGTTTGTGTTTTATTAACTACGGAAAATCCAACATAAAAAGTCAAAAAATTAAATCACTTTAAAGTCGACTTATATTTAATTCATATTTCATAAAACGTCAAAAAGTATACTTATTTATATCATTTCAACCAATTCCTTAGGGGTTGTTTGGGATGACCTAAATAAGTATACTTTTTGTCTTTTTACGAAAAGATGTGCAGAAAAGTAGAGAGGTGATGTGATGAAAAAAAGATAAAAAGATAGATTATTTTTAAATTGTCAAACTTTGCCTTAGTATACTAGGTTGAGTTTGACACATTAATAGAATAAGAAATACAATCTTTACTGGTAACACTTAGGCCAAGTTTGGGAAGACTAAATAAGTGCACTTTTTGACTTTTTATGAAATATAGGTTAGATTTGGGTTGGATTTGAAGTGATGTGTTAGAGAAGTGATGTGACTTAAATAAGATGATGTGACTTAAATAGGATAGTGACTTTTTGACTTTTTGAATTTTTTGGAGGATGCCAAACTTGACCTTAAATTCACAAAACATTTGTATACTAAAATTGTACACAACAGGACACTCAAAGCACTTTCTTCACACTGCACAATGGAGACACTATGCACACTTAGGATTCATTTGGCATGAAGGTTTGGGGTTAGGTTGGGTTGGGATTATTTTAGTCACAAAAAGATAAAATAGACTTTTTAGATCAATAAGATAAAATGTCACATTCAAACCATAATTATTTTATTTTATTTCTCATAAAAGTCAAAAAAGCTAAAAAAATCAAAAATTTAATCTCAAACGAGGCTTTTTAGCTCCAAACTAAAAAAACAAAAAAATCAACCCACGTCCCAAACGAAGACTTAGGCCTCATTTGGCAAGTGGCTTTTTTAGCCAAAAAGACACTAAAAAAATCAAAAAACCAACAACCCATACCAAAAAGTCAAAAATTCTATTTTCTCTCTACTTTTTGCACATCTTTTCGTAAAAAGTTAAAAAGTCATCCCAAACATACAATTTTTTTTTAGCTCTTTTAGCCAAATAGTCAAAAAGTTACTAAACTAGCATGTTCCTAAACGAGGCCCTAGGCTCCTTCACACCACTCTTGTAAGACACGTGATTACACCACTCGCATCACTCTTCTTTCACTCAATCATCCATTTTTTAGTTTATACACTGATCTCATATTTATATTAGTTGAATAATTTTTTAAAGGGTAAATTACATTTACCTGCCCTGAGGTTTCTGACAAATACAGGGACCTCCCCTGTAGTTTCAATAATTACACTAACTTCCCCTATTTTACCTGACATTGTACAGATTCCCCCAATCCGTCAATTATAAATAAACGACGTTACTTTTGTATACAAAATGACCATATTACCCTTTTATTTGAGCATGAAAAGACGAAAATACCCTTCTATTATAGTATTCAACTTTGTTTTTAATTTTAATGTTAATTTTTTTGTTCTCTCTCATCTCATCTCATCCCCCAATCCCAACTTCACTCTGGTTTCCAATTGCAACAGCAGTGTAATCTGAATTCTCTAAATCACTCTCCAGATGTCCCTCATCTTCCTCCTCTTTCTCTCGCTACAACTCCACCTCTCTCTTCTCTCCTCTTCCTCCTCCACCACTGCCTCTGCCGCCCGCAACCTCCACACCACGGCCTCATCATGTCCTCTTGATTTTGACGTCCTTCGCCGACTCATTCAATCCTCAAATCGTCCAAAACTCGACTCCGATTCCGTCTCTTGTCATTACATCAAGGTCGGTCTCCGACTCATTCAGTCCGATTATCTCCGAATCACTAACAATTTTCTTCCTCCGATTGACTCCGCCGAGTCTTGTTGGGTTTCATACCAAACCCTAATAAACGATTTCTTCCCCAATTTCAATGATATTCGCAAATCTGCAGTTTCCAGGCCTCTTGGATCGCTGAGGGTTGTATAAACATCATTACTCTTGATGCATTCGAAGGCAATGTTTCGAAATCAGCGTTAGACAACGCCGTGAAGGCGTGTACTCAATCTCTTGGTAACGGTTGGCCGTGCGCTTCTTGCACCACCAATCTCTCGAGCCTCCAGCCTTCGAATTTGAACGGCCGATCAATTGGAAACCTCTCCGATTGCATGGCGTACCCTTCGATTTACGCCGCGGTGTTTATCAATCGTTTCGGCCCAACCGATGAAGATACTGCCAACTGTCTGTTTGGTTTTGATTTTTCTGATTTGAGCAATTCGAATGGTAGAGTTAGAACCATTGTGATTTGTGTAGTTGTGATAGGTTGTGGGTTTGTTTTGTTTCTGGGTTGTGGTGGGTTTTGGATTTTACGGCGAAAACGCGAGAAAATTAGGGAGAGAAGTAAGGTTGATCATGAGAGAGAAACTAATTTAGGCAAAGGAAACTACCCACCATTTTCTCAGAAAATACACTGTTCCGGACATAGATGGGTTGAGGACACTTGAGGGCATTATAGACATTTTAATGTTTGGCTTTGATGACATCAGCTTTTTCTGTGAAATAAATAAACGGAAGTCAACAGAAGAGGGAATCTTGACATTGTCAGGTAAAGCAGGGGAGGTTATTGTAATTATTCAAACTACAGGGGAGGTCCCCGTATTTGTCAGTAACCTCAGGGGAGGTAAATGTAATTTACCCTTTTTTAAAATATACATATGCTTCCACTATACTCTAGAATTATCTAGACTACTCTAGTATATAATAGAGTTTTCTATACTTCTCTAAAATATTCTACAACCTTTTGGAATCTTCAAAATTTCTCAAAACCTTTTTACTGTTCTGGAACCTTCTAAAATGTTTTAGAATCTTTTAGATTTCTCTAAATTTTTTCGAAATATTCTAGATTCATATGCAAACTTATAGAATATTCTAAAAAAAAATAAATTTAAATAGTGCGGAAAGTTATTGACGACTCTTAACATATTGGGAATGTTTGATTAATATGATTAGAGTATGAGATTGAGATTATTAATCCATGAGCCTAATAATCCTGTGTTTGTTTTAAAATTTTGTTTCAGGATTATTAATCTAATGGATAATTAATCTAACAAATTTATAGGATTATTAATAATAGGGTAGAAGTGAGATTATATATCATGAGCTGGGAAATAAAATAAAAAGACTCTTTCACCCTTGACCAAAAATTAAAACACTTATTGTTTCTATATAATTTTATATTTTATAAGGCTAAAAATAATTTTAAAAATAATTTTTGATATTTATTTTATCAAATTAGTTTCTATTTAAAAAAATAAATAAAAACAAACCAAACATGACTTTTGTATTTTGTATTTTTATTTTGCTTTTATTTATTTATTTATAATTTTTTTCAAAACCACGTTTATGAGGAAATTTTGATAAAGTAAAGATTGTGAAAAAACATTAATAGAGGGTATGATTGTAAAAGAAGATAAATATAATTGTAATCCTATATTCATATGTTTTCTTATTCAATATAAATCAAATAATGGACAATGAGATAATTTATCCTACTAATCCAATTGGATAATAAATACCATATTAATTTAATAGAATTATTAATACCTTTACTATTAATCTTATAAATCAGACATGCTCAAAATGTATAATAAGCTAAAATTCATTCTTCTTATAAAAGTTAACAACCGCGATTGGGAGCTCGAATTTGAGCTCCCTCGAATCCCCCTAAATAAAAAAATGACGTCGGTTTTGCTTTTGTTTTTGTTTGTTTGTTTGTTTTTTTTTTGGCAGAAGGAAGAAGAAGACAGCAGAAGGAAGAAGAAGACGGGGGAGGAAGGAGGAGGAGGGGGAGGAGGAGGAGGAAGAAGGACTGGAGGGGGCCTAAAAAATGGGGCTGGAGGCTGAGGCGGGGGGCGGAGGCGAGGCAGAGGCATGGCGATCGGCGACGGAGGCGGAGGCGAGGCAGAGGCATGGTGATCGGCGACGGAGGCGGAGGCTTGGCGATCGGCGGAGGCGACGCGATCGGCGGTGGAGGCGACGCGATCGGCGGTGGAGGCGACGCGATCGGCGGTGGAGGCGACGCGATCGGCGGTGGAGGCGACGCGATCTCTCCCTCTCCCTCTCCCTCTTCCTCTCTCCCCTCTTTCTCTCCCTCACCCTCACCCCGTTTCAGACTGGAGGAAGAAAAAAAAAAAAATTGAATTGCTGAAACGACGTCGTTTCAGCAATTCAGGGGATTCGGATAATTTTTTTTCGAGCTACAAATCTTTTTTCAAAAGTTAATTCAACAATAGTATAGACTTGAAAGCAGCAACAAAACGCTGCGTTTTCTAGCTCAGAAAATAGGAGGCAAAATTACACCATAGTTTTTATATTTTTGTTCTCGTATCATTTTGATATTTGTAATTTTAATTGATTCGATTTTAATCTTGAATTTTTTGCTTTGGCTCTATTTCGACGTAAAATATTTTACATAATTTTTTTTCTTGTAAATTAATTTTATACAAAAAAATATTTTTATTTTTATTTTTCTGCGATTAGTTAATACTTGAAGTAAAAATATTTTATTATTTAAAAGAGAAATTTTGATTAAATAAAGTGTTATTTATGATTTTTTAGTGAGTTAAGATATTTATTTGAAAAAGTTAAAGATGCTGAAAAGATAGTGAGTGATAGTTAATTTTGTAAAAATTAATTTATAAATTTTTTAAATGTAAGTATTTTTTAAAAAATGATTCAATTAAAAATATTTTATTTACTTTTTGTTAAATCAAATAACGAAAAATGAGTTTACACAAAAACAAATGAACTATTTGTGTCAATTTAGTTTAATTATTATTATTTTTTAATGAAAAATGTACAAATGAGTAGGATGAACCAGGCTTCAATCAACTTAATTTTAATTTTTGTTTCAAATATCTTTAGATTAAAATGATAGTATATAAAACTTAAAATTTAATAGTAAAAATTGACTGGGACTAAAACGAATCAGAACGCCTAAATTGGTGTATCAGAATCCAGCTTTTGTATTGCTGTTGGATGGCTCACAACTGTTCTAGGGTTTCCAAACAAGGAGAAGCCACTCAGAACCGTGCCAAAACCCAACCATCACTACCGACGATCTAAAGGTTAGGGCTTTTTCAATCTCTCTCTCCCTCAAAACTTTCTCATCATCTCTTGTTTTGTGTATATCATGCCAATTAAAAACCTAAAAAGAAATACAAATTGTAAGTAGGAAAAGTGTAAAACCCTGTATATATTTCTACCATTGTAATAATTTTGACCCTAACATTGGTTTGAATCACAAATTCTCTACAAAATGTGAATCAGATTATTTCTACACTGTTCAATTCAATTTTGCGATAAGGTTTTATTCTGCAGGATAGGAGTTTCTATGTAAAATTACATATGGACCTCATGATTTGGTTTTATTCTGCAGGATAGGAGTTTCTATGTAAAATTACATATGGACCTCATGATTTTTATTTTTGTCTTGATTTGATTCTTCAGGACAATTTTGAATACTAGTGTTGCACCAGAATCTTGTTTATTAGTATGAGTCAATAAAACAAAAGATGCTTTCAGGATTGAAGTTCATACCCAGGGATCAAATTGATAAGGTAAATCCTCTGCTTGGGTTTGTTTTCATTTTTGTGGAGCCTCGAGCAAAATTAATCTATAAATTGATTTCTTGTACATTTTCATGCCTTACCCACTTACTAAAATGTATAATTCTATTCTTTTGTGTTGATTTCTGAAAATTTCGGTTAGGCACAGGAAGAAGACTTGGATGATTCTAGAAGAGAGAAAAGGAAATCGGGTAATAGGAAGGAAAAAGATAGTAAAAAAAAGAAAAGTTCTCAATATGGTAGTTCTGATGAGGATGATCTTGAAAGAATAACAAAAGGATCTAGAAAGAAAAGGAAGTGGTATTCTTCTGATGAGAACTCGACATATTCTACTGAAAGTGAAAGTGAGGATGACTTTGACCGAGATGAAAAGAGAAATAGGAATAAGAAGAGAGAGAAGAAGAGACAAGGGAATAGCTCAAAAGATGAAGCTAGAGGTAAGTTGAAGAAGTCGAGAAGCAAGAGAAATGATTATTCATCTGAAGACTATTCTTCGGTTAATTCTGATGGTGAAGATAAGGAAGGCTACTCTCATAGAAAAGGAAGTAAAAGCCGTGGACAGAAAAGGGTTAACAAAAAAGGGGGTGAAATGGAATCTGTGGGAGAAGACTTGTCTGGTACTTATTTTTCTAGTTGTTTTTCATTATAGTAGACAATTTTGTGTGTGTTTGTTTTCTGTTTTAAACATGTTTTTTTGACATCTTTACGTAGATTATGGCAGAGGATCTTTTGGCAAAAACAATATTGTGAGAAAAGAAATGGGATTAGAGTGGATGCTTAGACCCAAAGACAGCATAGAGAGAGAGACTGCAACTGCAACAACTTCTGATCAGCTAGAGGAACCTCAGGTTGAGGAGGTATGCCGCCCTCCCTCTCCATAAGCTCATTCTAATTTCTCACTGCTCAATCTGAATTCTGCTGTATGAAGAGATGAAAGTGCCTAAGCTTCATGTCATCAGTGAATGCTATACAAATACACATTGTTGAAACTAAAGTACATATCGATATAACTAAATCTTACATATGTATATACATATAAAATCACGTATATCGATATAACTAATTGATCTATTTTTATTTCTTGATAGAGGCGAAAACGATATCGTTTCATACATTATATAAACAAAATAAAGAACAAAACTGCATGATAATGAATCATAGTGAATCACAATGAATTGCACGATTGACTCAAAAGTGGTGACATTGTGGGAATTAGAAGCATATGCATTTATAATTAGCATATTTTGGTAATGATTATATAGTGAAATGTGGGGGCACTCATAGTTTCCATTGGAATTAGAATTACTAGTCTCTGATGGGTGATACTTCAGCCTTCATGCTTTTGCCTTGCTAAATGTAGACTGTGAGGTCAAAATGATAAGTGACTTCTTGTGCTATTGTGTCTAAACATATTGCATGACGCGAAAATTAACATGCTAAGAATCCATGTGCACACTTACATTTTCTCCCCCAGCAGTTTTAGTAAAATTTCAATGACTAGAATGTTTATCAATTTTTTTTGACTGGAACCAAGTTTGGCAGATGAGATGTTTTGGGTTGTGGAGGGTGGCAGAACATACTGTTTTTGTCCATGTGCTTGATGTTTCATTAAATGTTCGCCTGGTTTGAGCCTTGCAAGTTAATCAAAGCAAAAAGGGTGTTTTAGATATAATGAAATATTACTTTTTTTTGTCATTGTTTACTTTGAGACATAATCAGTATTAGCATTATATTGTTAATCTGTGTTTAAGGAGAAAGGATTGGATTTTTGTCTACTTTGTTCTATTATGAAGACATTGTTGTCGATCAATAACTTTAATTGATACATTAGGGAGGCTGCTATTTCACAGTGGCTAGATTTTTGGTCTATTCTTGCCCATGCGGGTGATGCATTTGGGCAAATAGTTATTCTTCCACTCCATTTCTGCATGTTACATTTTATTCTCTGTCTCATTTTTCAAGAATTTGAAGTATTTTAGTTTTTACTTATTTTATTTTATTTCTTGAAAAAACTAATTTCAATAGGTATTATAGGTTTTTCTGTGGATAAGGTAAATTATTTATACATAAACTAAGTAATGAGTGTTTGTGTCTCTGTCTCTTTTCTTTATGTTGTTATGTATGCATTTAGGCAGTGTATTTGTAACTATACCTGTGTAGTTTACATATATATTTTTTTTCTCTGTTTGTCAGGTGAAAGAAAATCCCAGAGAATTGAATCCATATTTTAAGAATAATGGAACTGGTTATCCAGAAGAAGCCGATGGGACAAAGGCTGGACGGAACCAACTTCTGTCTTCTGCTGTTGTTGGAGATGGAGGTGCAAGTTGGAGACTGAAAGCCTTGAAGCGAGCTCAGGAGCAGGCAGCTCGTGAAGGAATGGCCCTTGAGGAGGTAATTATCTTGTGGATTTTTGACGTAAGGTAGGGTATCTTCTATCTTTATCATTTTGACGTGATGCACTAAAATTGTATAGGTTGTTGGAGAGCGGTGGGGATCCCTTGGTCAGCTGGCAGTTTCCGTGGCATCTCGTACAGCTGCTCCATCACGTGCTCACCTCCATGCCATAAAAAATAGAAAGAAGGGGCTAAGTGAGGAACAACAAACAACTGTGCATAATCAGAATGAAAAGGTTACTGAAAAGGTACTTAGCTATTGCCAATGGTATTGTTGTTAAAATTTACCATTTATGTTGGCCAATATGTGAATCATTTCGTTTAAGATAGTGATCTACATCTTGGGGATGAATTTTTCAAATATGTTTTTCTGTGTTTAAATTTTTTTTATTTGAATGATGAAAAATATAAATTCTGATCCTGTCTAATTCTGAACTTGAATTGAAAGTAAAGATATTTGCTTCCTTTTAAGTTGCATGTTATAATTTTTGAACATCAGAATATTGGAAGAGAAAGGCTGAGGGATACATCTCGTCGTCATTCAGAGATGAAAGTGCCTAAGCTTCATGATTCTTTATCTTGGGGCAAGCGGAAAAGTCAAATCATGTCATCTAATAAAGATTCTGATCTTATCTCTACTGCAATGGCAAGCTTAAATAAGTTCGCAAACGATGGAAACTTTATGAGCGAAGTTATTCGTCAGCAGAATGATGACCGCGGTGGTTCTCGTTATAATTGTGAGAGAAATGTGGAGTCTGAATTGGTTTCATTGGAATCTCAGAAACCTGGTGAATCTAGTGCAGTTGTTAATCAGGGAATGAGTGCTAACCAGTTGGCCGCAAAAGCTTTGCAACTTCGTTTGAAAGGAAAACATGAAGAAGCTGAAAAACTCTTGGTGAGACAAAAACTTCTCCTTACTATTTCTACTTCCCTCGTCTTTTTGTGTGTGCGTGCTTGCATGTTTTCTGTGTTTGTTTTATTTTGTTATATTTTCAGAATCTATATATTATTCAGCATGCTTGGTTAGAGTTTTCCAAAAACTCTTTTAAGAAAATTCTACTTTCTTATTTTCCGTATTCTTTTGTTTTTATTGAATTTTTTAATATTTTAAGCAATTTTTTTTACTTTTTAGACATACTTAAATATACCTAAAACGTAAAAAATTTGTGAAAGAAACCTTTTAAAAATTCACTAAATACCAAAAATATAAAAAAATACGAGAATTCAGTACATTTTTTGTATTTTTATGTATTTATTAATTTTTAAAAATATTTTTTCACAAATTTTTTACTTTTTAGATACATCTAAATAAGGTGCATCTAAAAAAGTAAAAAAAAAAATGTTTAAAATTTTAAAAATATTCACTAAAAACAAAAAAACACGAAAACCAAAAAACTCAGTTTTCAAAAAACTTAATCCAAAAAACTCAAATCAAACACACTGATTAATCTTTTTTAGGGGGAGATTAGGGCATATGACATGGACTTGATAAAAATTATAAGAAGCAATAGGCATGGTGGTTTGTTTACTCATGCGAGTGATTGTCAATATTAAGTTATTTACTTGTTCGAATTCCAGGTTGTACTAATTATTTTTGAATTCAAGCAAAGACTAAGGAGTGGATTTGATTGCTGATTTTCTTTTGCACGACAGTTAACTGGCACATTACTCACAATGGGAGTGCTTTACTCATTGAGCTGCATCCTTCGCTTTATTAGTGTGAAATTGTATTTTCATATGGTTGTAGGAACTCTTCCCAGTTGAAGCGCTGCAGCTTTTGATATCCAGAGGTTGTCCCATGGAACCTCAAGGGTTTTATTTTCTATTTTTATGTGTTTTTTTTCCCGTGTGTGAGTGTGGGTTGGTGCATCTGACCTTGAGGTTGGAATTAGGCCAATTGATGTGACTAGGGTTTCATTATATTCCTTGAAAACTTAATGATGTGATGCATTTAACTATTAAACAGTGTCCTTTTCCAATCTTCACAATCATTGTATTACTGTTCTCTTTTTGGCTGTAGAATATTGTTATCCCCAGTTTGAGCCTCCAACTTGATCATGGAGCAAGCATCACTATCAGATGAACTATCTGGAGTCTAACAACCTTGCTTTAATTGTGATATGAGGATGGATAGGCTTATCTCTTACTCATAATTTGAAATAATAAGCTTTTAGTAATTTGATCACACAAAAACTTGTAGCAGAGATATTGGTATTTTTTGGTTAATGAGAAAAATGGATGTTAGGCTGAGTTTAGTAAATTGTGTAGTGTATGGGTTTATATGGGTTGGTGGGCATTTTCTAAAAATGGCAGAAGGTTAGAGGTGTTCACAAAATGCAATGCCAGCCATTGCACCTTTTGTTTCTGTAGAAGCATGTGTTTGAAATTACATTCTAGACCCTAGTTCTTGTGTAAAACATATTTATTGTATTGTATTGTATTGTGTGTGTTTGTGTTTTTATATTTTTTCGTTTCCTTTTGATAATACGGTTTGGCAATTTGGAACCTTGTTGCATTATATTTGAGCAATTTTTTTTTGAAATTAAACGTTATAAGGGGCGATGTGTTTGGTGGACCAGTTACAATAGGATTGGGATTTCTCTTTGATTATTAATTCGAAGTGTGTTTTTATTTGTTGTTACCAGAAAGAGGTGGAGAACATTAAAGCGAAGCAAAGTGCTGTGGACGAATCCAGTGAAGCACAAAATGAGAGAAACAGAAGAAGGTAATTTTTTATCTCATAATTATTTATTCAGCTCAGGTGTTACCATCGAGAGTAAGATGCCCGTCTCTTATATTGTCATTAGAAAATAATTTATGCTGAATTTAATTTTTCAGATATGGCACACATGACACATCTATTCGGCAAAGAAAGAAAGAAGATGATGCTGACATGCACCTTGCCCAAAAGATAGCACAAAATAAACAGTACAGTATATCTGGTCGGGCAGATGATGAATATGATTTTGAGGATGGTCCAAGGAGAAAGACTCGGAAGAAAGGGGCCAAAGATAATAAGTTAACTGAGAAGACTAATTTTCCCCAGCGAATCTTGACTCAGCAAGAGCGTTGCCAATTCTGTTTTGAGAACCCCAGCAGGCCAAGACATCTTGTGGTTGCTATAGCCAATTTCACCTACCTCAGTTTACCACACTGGCAGTCCATTGTGCCAGGCCATTGCTGCATTTTAACCTCACAGGTTAGTATTAGTTTGTTAACTTAGTATATTATCTCTTCTATTTTCATGTTACTAAAACAACTTGCAATTGTGTTGAAGCTATGGATGATCATTAATTCATCACTTAGAAGTTAGGATATCTGTCTTTTTATTATTGATTCTTCATTTTATAGCTGTTAAAAATTAAGAAGCATGGACACTTGCATGGAGGTTCCATGTCTAAACTCATCGGATGCTCCCGTCACGTGTTGGACGCATGTCCAAACGTGTCTTGTTATTTGTTTTAGAACTGGACACGCTTTGGACACCTGAGGGATCCACATGCCCATTGATTGATGCACACGCACGAGACATTGCAAGTTTGAAGAAATAAGTTGGGAGTCAATGATTAAAATCAAAGCAATGTGGATGTAATGACTATTAGTCACTCCTTTCAACTCTTTAATTCTCAAAATTCTAATGCCTAACACTTCTAATTTGTTGATGAAAAAGTTTTCTAAAATAGATTATTAAAGTTTATTGTTTGCACTTTTCTAATATATACAATGTGGAAAGTAATTCCTTATTATTTTGATGAAATATAATGCTTTTCTAACGTAAAAATAAAGCAATTGTTATGATTCTCATGTATATATAAATATCTATTTATTTTTGTTGACATGTCCCAGCTTTGTTGTGTCCTTAGTTTTTAAAAAATTGTCATGCCAGCTTTGTCCCTTTTCATCGTACATATCTATGTCTCACGTTTGTATCTATGCTTCTTAAGCAGGTCCATTTGTTAAATGACACTGTACAAAATAGTATGCATTTAGTTCCAGCCGCCGTTCGTGGTCGGGAGGTTTCTGCCCGTTACAAGTGATAATGATAAGGCATTGAATGCTAGTTGAATCATAAATTTCTATAGAGGCATGTATTAATTATAATATTAATAAGTACTACTCTTTAACTGCTTGTGGGAGAAAATGGACTTAAATAGGTTGTGCGTTGAAGCAATAGATAGACTTATTTCATTCTCATAGGATGTCCAGTCCCAACCTCTCTTGTTATTGTTTTGGACTCAAATTGGTTGCTTTATGTTGAATCCCTTATTTCATTCTCATGGGATGTCCAGTCACCATCTCTTTCTTCATTGTTCTTATTGTTAATTTTGTCATTATGATTTTTATTCTAATCATTGTTTTTATGCGTAAACAGCATGAATCAGCCACAAGGGCTGTTGACAATAATGTGTGGGATGAAATTCGCAACTTCAAGAAATGCCTTATCATGATGTTTGCAAAGCAAGAGAAGGATGTAGTGTTCCTTGAAACTGTGATGGGGTTGGCGCAGCAAAGGCGTCATTGTATGGTTGAGTGCATTCCTTTGCCCCAAGACATAGCAAAACAGGCACCTCTCTATTTTAAGAAGGTGTGGTTTTCTACATTCATTTTCAATTTTATATGCTAATATTCAGATTGCATATTGATATTGAATCACTTTTCTTGCAAGTGTCGCCTTTTAATTGGTTGACAATTCCCCTTCCCCACCCCCTCTTTCTGTTTCATTTTTAATAAACCCTTGTGTTTTTCTAAAAATCAAAGAATGAGATGACATTAGTGAAATGGGCATCCCATAGAGTTTATGTAATTAAGTTCCCTATGATCAAAAAAAAGTTCCCTCTGTACAAGCAGGATATATCTACTCTGGAATTAGCTGCTGAGTTGTTTAACTTAGCCATTCAACATTGAAATAGAATTACTAATTAGTTGTATGTTTTTTTATTTTATATTTTATATTTTATTATTATTTTTTTATGCTAGTAGGACAATGTTGCTTGAAAATACCTTCATCTGTGTTACACTGTTTAAGTTTCAACATGACGCTAGCTTACAAGTGAGAGAGAATAAGCTGTTAGAGCTTGTTCTATTCAATCTTTGTGATTACTTCAAAGTGGATCCATGGACCATGTCAATATAATGATATAAAAACAATTGGATTTTAATTAAAAAATCATTGTGTGTTGTGTTGGGGCAGTCTTTCTACATATACCCAGCAGTGTTGTCTCAGTGGCATAACCAGTAGTGCTTGTGAAGCGAGTGCAAAGAAGAAAATTGAAATAATTTTTTCAGAAGAAAACTGAGTGCTAAAAGTTAGACATAAAACTATGTTATGCAAATTTTTTTGTATATTACTTTTTATATCATACTATTTGTTGCAATGACACATTCTTTGGATTATGGACTTTGAGCTTCTGAATATTCTTTGAAACTTTAGAACATGGACTGCTGGCATGGAAAAGCTGATTTCAGTGTTCTAGGTATTACCATTATTCTAGTATCAATCTTTTTAATCCCCACACTGCTTGTCAATTGTATCCTTTCATTTGTGTGGTGTCTTTTTATGCTGCGAAGTTGATGATCAGCATAAAGATATGTAGATTAGCTGAAATTTTCCCAGCCCAATCCCCTCAATTAGACTTCTGAGGCAATTATTCGTATGATGTAACCTACTAATACAGTTACTGCTTCCTTTTTATTTATCAAAAAAAAAATATAGCCTTTTACTTCTTTTTGACCCTTTGTTGGCAAATTGAATACTTATAAATGTTGAATGTTACTAGAAAGGTCATAAAGTTGACTAGGTTGGGTGATCTTCCATTCTTTTTAAGGCCGCCAAGTCTCCAACTTTGCTCTGTTAGACCTCTTATTGTAATTTAGAACTTTGATTTTGTTGCTTTTCACATGTTGAATTTTGCCTGTGGTTTTAATATTGCGTTCTCCTTATTATTTGATACCATGTACAGTCTACTATAGAGCTTATATATTTGCTACCAGTATGTTGAATTTTATTTTATTATATATATCTCTCTCTTACAATGTAGTTGTGAAGCTGTAGTATGGAGCATTGGTGGCTGATTTTATCATCTTACATTTTTTAGCCTGGTAGTAGTCATCACCAATGGAAAACTGTGTGAAATCTTGCTATTGGTCTTAAAAAAAACAAAGATTACAAAAAAGATATGCCTGATTCTACTACTGACCAAACTAAAGATTGTTTTGGGTCTCAAGCAATGTTGATGAAATTTAACTTACAATTCTTTTATATTTGATTATTTTGCTATTTACATGTTTGTAAAACGAGTTTGCTTCAGGCAATTGATGAAGCTGAAGATGAGTGGAGCCAGCACAATTCAAAGAAGCTTATTGATACGAGTGAAAAGGGGTTGCGTGGTTCAATCCCCAAGGATTTTCCGTACTTCCATGTTGAATTCGGATTGAACAAGGGGTTTGTTCATGTTATGGACGATGAAAAACAGTTCAAAAGCAACTTTGGACTCAATGTTATAAGGGGGATGCTGCGATTGCCGGAAGAGGACATGTATGGTCGTAGGAAGCATGATTCAGTGGAGACACAAAAGCAAGCTGTTGCGAGTTTTGTCAAAGATTGGGAACCTTTTGATTGGACGAAACAACTTGACTAAACATCATTCTATTTCCTTAACTGTGTGATGCTCTTGTGCATATTTGGTGCTGCAGCCTTTGACTCAGTTGTGCGGACAAAAGTTTGCTATGATCCTTCTTCACATTCATCCTCTTTGTGGTACTGGCCCGAGATTTGGAATAGTTGGATAGGATAATTTTATTGCATACAGCTTTGTAATGTATTGTTCATTTGATGATGAGGGTTAGTCTAGGGCTATTGGTCATCTGTTTTGGAGGCTAACTATGGTCTCAAATTTGCAAAGTCAAACCTATCTAAGAGCATCTTCAATGGTTATTGTTATAATACCATTGCTATTGTTATAATTTGGCAATGAATAGTGCTATTTTGTCAAATTATAACAATGGTGCTCCAATGGTCATTTGTTATTTTGACAATTCTCAGCCAATTTTTCCTCTAAGTTTATAGGTGTTGTTTGGTTATAGGTTTTTTTGTGATTTTATTTTTGTTTATTTTTTGTCGTTTATGGCCTTTTTTTTAACTATTTGTAAAAAAAATTATATATTTATATTATTCCTGACTAGACAAATATAAAAAATGAAAAAAATTAGAAAAAAACTTAAATATAATTCAATTTGAAAAATTAAATAGAAAAATTAAATTTGAAAAATTACTTGGTTTTTAACTGTTTCAATTTTGTTTTTTCAACTGAATTTGGAGCCATAAATATGTTCATATTTACTGATGTGACATGTTTGGCATTTGCTATTCTACTTTCCAAATTTGAGAAGAGATGGAATATGCTATCTTTGGCAAGTAAAATAGCAGACCATTGGAGATTCACTTTTTATCATTATTGTTAAATTATAACTTTGACAAGTATTTTGAGAGCTCCATTGGAGATGCTCTAAGCCCTATAAGCTATTGCTATACCGAAAAACACAAGTTAAATTGTACATCCAAATACAATATTCTTTGCCAATGTTAGATAATTTAGAGTCTACCCATCTAAAACTAAATTGTCATGGGCGAGGCCTTTGAAGAAGAGGATTAATTTTTGTTGAACCTTTGGATTTTAAATTGTTTTCTAGTAAGTCTTCCAATAATTTTTTTGTGGATTTTTTTTCCCCTTTGAGATAATCATGAAAGAAGTTAAAAGAATTTAGAATCTTGAGAAAATCCAGTGTTAAACGAGAATGGTTAAACTCTCATTCATAAGCAGGTTAAATGTGTACTTCTATTTAATTATCAAGTTGGTTATAAAGTTTTAACACAATTTGTTGTCTATTCTATCTGCCACTTGTTGGTCCCAGCTTTCACTAGCTCACTTAAAAATTAATCACATCGTTTGGTTCCAATTTTCAGAATTTAATTTTTTGAAAAATTGAATTTTTTATTTTGCATATTTTTATTTTATTATTTATTTTTAGTGAATTTTTTTAATATTTTAAACAATTTTTTTACTATTTAAATGTGCCTAAAAAATAAAATATTTGTAAAAAAATATTTAAATAAAATAAATATACAAAAATACAAAAATATAATGAATTTTTGTATTTTCTTTTTGTATTTGTGGTATTTAGTAAATTTTTAATTTTTTTTATTATAAATATTATACTTTTTAATTGTATTTACATTAAGTGTATCTAAAAAGTAAAAAAAAATTGCTAAAATATTAAAAAAATTCACTAAAAATAAAAAAAAATACAAAAATAAAAAAACTTGAAGGTTTTAGCTTGATTGTCCAAAACTCATGCACCTCACTAGGAGATCTGTCTTATTGTTCATATATTCATTGGAATTTTATCTCCCACTTCGAGAGTTTCTTTGTAAAAAAGTTTGTATTGTATTTCATTTTCATTATTATGGTTGTAATTCATTGAGTTTCATTGTAATATCTTATATGAATCAAATCTTAAAGAAAAAAAAGAGGACTTTTTAAGAGCATGAAAAACAAAATTTCAATCACAGTTTTTTTTTTTCTTCTTAGTAAAAACTAATATATGACACCATCTTATGTCTTGATGATATAGAATTACAAGCAATGTGAACCAGAATAAAATAAATAAATAAATAAATAAAAATTTTAGTAGCTCGAATTTGTATGGTCTGAATGACTCGAATGTAAAATGATGTCATTTTGAAATATTTGAACCATTCAGACCATGAAAATTTGAGATATTAAACATTATTAAAAAAGAAAAATGTGGCTTGGGTATATGTAAATGCAACCTTAGCTAGGCTTTAGTTTTCTTTGTTGTTGAATAGTGGCTTCAAACTTTCTCAATTAACCACAGCTACAAAAAGTGTCATGACCTGAACCCGCCCCTGTGGGTTGAGGACATAACCGGCCAGTAATCATGAGATTACCTACGGCCTCAAACCAAACCAAATGTATGTTAACAGAGTTAATGGGGGCCAAACGGAAGCAGTTTAAAACTTTGTCCATAGAGCTGTGCTTACATGACACATCATAGTAAACTATACATATGCACATTAATAACTCACAACAAAATATGTACTACACAAGGTTCTGTACATACAGGATCATACAAGTCTAAGTCAACCCAAAAAAACTATATACAACATATTCAAAGACTTCGCCCACATGACAAAATAAAACAGAATGACAGAAAGGCGAAGGTGGGTCTCGTGCGTGAGCCGCAAGGGCTGACTCTTCAAAACCTTTATTGTTCCTCACAGACTTCACTGGGGCTGGGTTGGACTTCTCTTGGCTCACCTAAAAACACATGAATGTGCATGAGCGAAAACCCAGTGAATAATATCAAATAAAGGAGTTATACAAACGGTACATAGAATAACATGCTTCAAACGGCCTTGGGCCCAATTCATATTGTCATTTATGTCAAACTGGCCTTTAGCTCATTCACTTATTCATGTCGAAACGGCCTTTGGCCCATTCATTCATTCGTGTCAAAACTGGCCTTTGGCCCATTTATTTATTCATGTCGAAACGGCCTCTGGCCCATTCATTCATTCGTGTCAAAATGGCATTTGGCCCATTCATTTATTCATGTCGAAACGGCCTCTGGCCTATCCATTCATTCTTGTCAAAACGGCCTCTGGCCCATTTATACTTTCGTATCAGACTGGTCTTCGGCCCATTTGTGCTTTCGTATCAAACTTTCATTCGTGTCAGACTTTCATTCGTGTCAGACTGGCCTTTGGCCCATTTGCTCTTTAGGCATAGCAAGCGTTTGCCCACAATTCAAATTAACAGACTTATAGGAAGCTAAGCAGTTGGACAAATAGCATATTCCAGATATCTTTATTAAGATACTACTCACAGTGATCGATTGGTTGATTTTCCCTGGAGCTTGACCCTATACATCACATAACACATACGGGTCACAAATAATTCAATTCGTTCTTTAATTCACATATTCCTCTTTAGGCTTTATTCTTATCCCTTTAATTCATTTACAATGCTTAATGCATGCCTATGAGTACTTAGAAGTGAAAGAGGGCGGAAAACGAAACTCAGAATGCCTTTTCAAAATTTTAGAAAACAGGGTCCCCGCTCGAGCGTGGACTTCCCCGCTCGAGCGGACCTATGAGGTCTGCAAAAGTGCTGGACGCATCAAAATTATGCTCGAGCGTGAAGTTTGGCGCTCGAGCTGAAGGTCTGTCTACATAGCTCTCCGCTCGAGCGGACATCCAAGTCTGCAAAATACTGGGAGCACGAAATTCACGCTCGAGCGGAGGTTTCCCCGCTCGAGCGGACATCAAATTTTCTGGGTTTTCCAGAACATGTTCTTAAGCTCCAATTCGACATTCCATCCAACATTTCTTGCATGCAATAGCTCAAACTCCAAATACACCTGTACTAACATGGTATAAACCCCAAATTACAATACTATGAAGCTCAATTTCACAATTTAGTCACATGCATGTCCCAATTCACATCAAATTCATTTCCATCATAACAAACTCATACATTCAAACTCATATTCTTATAAATTGTACATGCATGTGAGATATAACTCTCATTACCAACTCAAATGGTGCAAATGGTGATCACAAGCATGAACTCTAGCCAAAATCTTACATGGATCATACCTTTCATGCTCAATTATACAAATTCAAAGCAATTACACACATGCATGCATCTATTGATCTCCAAATCACCAAAACCAACTCAATTTCATTTTAATTCTTGCTCTTGATTACGCAACTAGCTTGAGTACACAAATCTACAAACATATACTCATGAATTCATGCTCACATGCTTACCTAGAGGTTCAACTCTTCCAATCTATAGCAAATTTAGAGTTGGCCTTCAAAATTTCCAAGCTTTTAAGATCAAACTTCAATTGTGAGCTCTCCCTCTCTCTAAGCCGACCCTCTCTCCTTTTCTTAGAGTTAAATAAGCCAAATGAATACCAAGAAGGAGAATTGGGTGTATAATGCCCTTAAGAAGCTTCCTTAGTCATATTATTTTAAGATTAAATGATTTGAGCACTAAGTCATTATTTTAATCAATTTAATCTGATCCGAATCAATTTTCAATTAAATTTCACCGTAGGCTCTAAAAATTACGCCAATCATAAAGGCGCAGTCAATTTCGAGTTCCGTGGCCGATAAAGCCTTTAATTTAATTTCCAAAGCAAACAATCAAATAGATATTCCTACGGTGAGTAGATAGAAATTCAAAACCACATATTTTCACATAATGGCATACAAAATCATATCAAACACATAATCATATTCATAATAGAGAGCAATTGGCATATTACGGAACATGGTTATCACAAAAAGTCAAAAGTGTCCAACTACAAGCTTATCTCAAATTTTATGAATTCTCATCAATAAATACCCATTCATCCAAAAAAAAAAAAAAACACCATTCAACCAAACATCATATACATCAATTACATCAATCACAAAGACAAAGGCAAAGGCAACATAACAAGATCTAGCAAAGCATAACACTCAAAATGTCTTCCGATTGTACTAAAGGTAAATATTAGCTTTCATAAAGAAAAATGCCTTTATTATATAATGTAGAAGCATGGTTTTAAATTTTTTGTATTTTTGTTATTCTCGATATTGATATAAACCCCCTAATCTCGTTTGGAATAAAAACACTATCCGTGTCAATCAATTTGTGACATGTATTGATTCATAATTGATCTATAGTCAGTTCGGTTACTATAAAATTCTTATTTTGTGGTTGACAATTTAAAAGGTATACGACTTCAACACCTAGAGACGGACCAAGTTAGGACTGGTGGTGCACGCCCCCAAGTTTTTAAAAATTACATGAATGTCTCTATATTTCATGAATAATTGTAAACTGCATAATATAACTGCCTTTTAATTTTTTTAAAATCATTTTACTAACTCTCTATTT